GAAGATTTTGTTCAGCTGAAACTTTTACACTATCGCATTGGTCACTACACCTATTTATAGACTGAATTTCAGATAGAAATTCAGTAAAACAGTCATAACTCGGCTTTGGAATTCAATAAGGTGTGGGTGTAGCTCACCGCAAGACCTACACCCACACTCCAAGACGGTACTTTCGACTATATCACTGAGAGCTCATATTCTAAATTGTTTGGGAGTGGAACAAAGTTTTTTGTTTTTATACTTGTAAATGCCGATGACCAAAGCAGAACAAAGGTTGCTTTAACTATAAGTGTCGTTGCCAATACAGGAAACAAAGGTTTTTCTAATTGAAAATGTCATTCTCAAAACAGAGCAATCAATTTTTAACCTTCAAAAGTGTCTTTTCCAAAATACTATAAAATTGTTCAAATCATTAAAACTTCTGAGTTGAGAATATTTAAGATCTAATCGTTGATAATGCTTGTATTAGGATTGAAAATAAATTTCATTTAATGGTAACAGCTTGTCATTAATTCCACAGGCAACAAGTAAGTTCTTGAGTAAACCACAGTTGTTGCACGGTAATTGCCATTGAAAATAGTACCACTCGATAAAGAATGAAATTCTGCATCCAACGCAACTCTTAAAAGACTCAATATAGGTTCGGGGGCGAATCTGGTGCTAACTTTACTTACGTGTTTCGATTTAGATATTATTATTATTCGCACTCATGCCCTCACTTTATACACTGACTTCGTACCACCATTATGTGAACATATAGGAATATACATGGTATTGCTTTCAATTATTAGAAAGCCTTTAAAATCCTCAAAAGTGCCACAATAGTATTGAAGATGGTAGACTGCTTTTTGTCTACAAGTATATAATGTACTAAATAAAAAAATAACGTTACCGATAACATGATCTACTAATAAAATTTCTTGGTAGCTTCTCTTCAATACATATCGGTAATACTAAACTCATTTTATACAGAACTTTTATTAACTTTCTATGTTTTTTTTCTTGTTTAATCAAAAAAAAAACATTCCGTTTTATTTTGTCTCTCTATTATCCAGTAACTAAGTTGAGCGTCGCTGAGCTGCAATCAATTTTGTATAAACACCATTTAATCTCAAAAGTTCATCATGTGTACCCTAAATAATTAAATGTGTTATTTTTCTTTGACAAGAACTATACATAATCATATTTACCTCTTCTTTAACATTGCCTCGATCAACAACGGCAATCTTTTCTGAATTTTGAATTGTTGAAAGACGATGAGTAATATTTAAACATGTTCGATTAAATTTTTCTTTATCTAATGCTACTTGAACAGTTTTTTCACTTTCATTATCTAATGCTGATGTTGCTTCATCAAGAAGTAAAATTTTTGGTGAACGAATTAATGCTCGAGCTATGGCAACTAAAGAATATTCGATATTCATTTAACATAAAATAATACATTATGAAATTATTTACTTCGTTGTTTTTGTCCACCAGATAATTGATTACCTTTCATTCCACATAATGTTTCGTAACCCTAAAATATTAACAGATTAGATTAAATATATACAAAAAAAAAAAAAAGAAAAAAACTAACTTTAGGTAATGAACATATAAATTCATGAATATTTGCCATTCGTGCAGCTGTTTCAATTTCATCTTGTGTTACTTCTCGACTATTATCACCGTAAGCAATATTATCATAAATAGAAATATTAAAAAGAACTGGTTCTTGTTGAACAAAACCTATTATTGATCGAAGCCATCGAATATTAAGAAGTCTTATATCATGACCATCGAGTAAAATATTTCCTTTTGATGGTTCATAGAATCTTTCTAATAATACAATCACTGTTGATTTTCCACTGCCTGATGGACCAACAAGTGCTGTTATGCCACCAGTTACACATTTCAATGAGAGATTTATGATAACAGGAATTGTCGGCCGAGTGGGATATCGAAAATGAACATCTTGAAATTCAATATTACCTTTGACTTCTTTCTAAACATCAAGTAAATATTTTCTGTTATTATAAATTAAAATAAACATACCAAAATTATGCCTGATTCATCATAAGGATTGATTTGTGATTGTCGTCGATTTAGTCGCATGATTCTTAATGCTGCTTTTTTTGCTTTCGAATAATCAGGAATCAAAGCCATTGAATAGCCAATTTGGACCATAGTAAAAGTAATAACGGCATATACTCTATTAAGAAGCGTTTTACATATATATATACACATATAATTTTATTATTATAACGAGTGATCCAGATTAAAATGATCACTTTGGTTTTACTCATTTAAAATTCGAATATGGTTTAGTTTCAATGTGTCGGAAAAATTATGAAAAGTGAAGATCTATTGTAAAAGGTAGTACTACAACTATATGAACAAGGTTTAAATAGTCGACGAAATTCAAAACAACTTGCAAGTGAAATTTGTAAATCGACTATTAAACTAATGGGCAAAAATGTATTTACGATTTTAATAGAATTGATTCGACACATCTGTCTAGTCGAAAATATTCAAAAAAAAGGAAAAGAGAGATTCATTAGCAAAGGAAATCAAAAATCATCTTTTTTATGTCAAGAAGAAAATTAATCAAGATCCATGAACTAAACTTACTAATGCACAAAAACAAATATGATTTTCATCTTAATCTTTTTGTTCGAACGTACTATAGCCGACAGATTTTGCTTAGTTTAAAATCGATAGATTATTCAATTTAACACTTAGTATCTAACCAAAAATAGTTACGTGTCGTAGTATGGGTCTTTTAATTAATCGTACACATAGGATATAACAAAAAACAACCTGTAAGACTATTAAAAAATGCTTTAAAAGCGAAGTTTACCTGAATACATTTTCAAAGGTTGTTTCACCGTTTTGGACAAGTTTACTACCGCACCAAAACATAGTACCATCAGCAAAATACATTACTGAATTTGCAATTCCAGCAGCTATTGCAACTAAATGCAAACGATATTTTTTTTGTCTAAATTAAAAAAACATTTTACACAATGAATGCGTAAAAAAAGAAATATTAATACCAATAATACATACTTAAATTCATGATTGAATGCATTTTCATAGAGATTGATAAAGTATTGCTCTTGGTGAAGAGCAGCAACTGTTCGAATATTTTCTATAGCTTCTGTAGCATTCTGTATATGAGATCGAGAAAAAATGAAATCATAATATGGTTTGTTTCATACCTGTCCACCTTGTTCACTAAATGAAGTTTTACTTTTTGACTGACCAGTATTAGCTTCTTGTTGTCCTGAAAATTTTCCTGCCAATGCTAATATAGGAACAAAGCAGAGTAAAATGAATGTTAATTTCCAACTCGATATAAATGCAATAGTAAGAGCCATTATCGTAGTGCTTATAGTTTGAACTATGATACCAATACGAATGCCAGTCATACCCTATAAATATATTTCATGACGTCATGCAGAAGATATTCAATTGAATTATCATCTCTATCGTATAAATTGTAATTACCTATCAACACTCGAACATTATTTCAGATATTTTACTTAATCATGTGACAGAATTATTAGAAAAACTTTGCTACATCATGTATTACACGTCATAAAATATCATGTGCTATCATCTCTATTCGCTTCCTGTTAAGAAAACATTGTCATTAACCTTAATCTTCTGATGGTAATTATGCATTTAGAAATGTGCAATATGCATATGCATGATTGAAAAAGGAGGTAGAGTATAATATAGAATATTTTACATTGATGCATGTCCTCGTATTATATCTTAAGATAAGCAATCAAATTCTGTCTTCGTATGCGAACGATACCAAACATATCATTTGATTGCATAGAAGTTCAAAATTTAATCATCGTTTCGGATATTGCTTAACTGAAAAAATCTCAACTTAGTGAAATTTTATTCGATGAAAAAACGGACGTATGCTTCTTCTGCGGTTTATTTTATCTGAAATGAATTATTCTTACACATTCAAATGATCATTCTCATTGTTCATCATTTTCTCTTAAGAATATTATCATATATTTGAATAGTCACATATCCTTAACAATTCTATGTTATTCATAAGTCATTACGGTCAATTTTATAAAGAAAAAAAAATTCTTGTCTTAAACGTGGAAATTATTTGAAGAATTAAATACCTTCAAAGCAGCTGCATCAGATGATAAACGTGTGACAAGAGCACCGACTGAATTTTCTTTACGATCGAAATAATTCATATCTTGACGAATCATAGCAGCAAATGTTAATTTTCGCATGCGCATCGTTAATGCTTCGCCTGATATCGAAAATCCAGCATTACTTAACAACTGAGCTATTCCTGATATAAAACCAAGAATAAAAATTGTACCAACATAAATATTTATTAAATATCTTTGTTTATCACGATCTTGTTCAGCAATTAAACCATAGATTTTACTAAATAAGAATGCAGATATTGGTTCAACAGCACCCAATGTAAGTGCACATATTGTTCCGATTAAAATCCAAGACCATTCAGGAGTATTAAATTTCAAAATTTTAAATACAAATGGAATTCGAAAACATATTTTTCTTTCTCTAAAAACATTATCAACTATGTTTTCATTATTATCATCATCACTTGCATATGAATTATCTGTCAAACTACCATATAGTTTCGAATATCTTCTTGATGCTAAAATAAATTATACAATAGGTTGTTGCACAAAGAAGATAATCAACATACATATTGATTGTCGAATACGATTTGTTTCTATATTATCATCTGTTTGATCGTCATTTCTATCAGTTTCTCTTTGATTTTGAACTTTGATCAATTCAAAATAAAGACCTTTAGATCTTATCAAATCATGATGAGTTCCATGTTCAACAAGTTGACCATGTTTCAATCCTATAATGAAATCAGCATTTTGTATTGTACTCAAACGATGAGCTATAATAATTGTTGTTCGTCCTGCTTTGACTTTATCCAATGCATCTTGAACAAAACGTTCACTTTTGTTATCTATTATTATTTTTTTGAAATATCAATTTCTTTTTTGTTTTTCTTTAAAAAAAACAAACGAAACAAACCAAGTGCACTTGTTGCTTCATCTAGCAAAAGAATCTTTGGATTTGAAATTAATGCTCGAGCAATAGCAACTACAGAAAATGAAAAAACAAGTATTTATAAAATTTGTTTTGCTCAACTCATTAAATATTCAAACCTCGTTGTTTTTGACCACCACTTAATTTATTACCTAATAATGTCTTATAATTCTATACATATAGATCTATCGTTAGAAAATACAATAATGAAAAAAAAGAAATAATGAAATACTTCTGGTAGTGCCATTATGAATTCATGTGCATTAGCCATTTTAGCAGCAGCTTGAATTTCTTCATCAGTTGCATCTAATTTTCCCAAACGAATATTGTCTTCAATTGATTCAGTAAAAAGTGCAAGTTCTTGACTAACAACTCCAATATGTGAACGAAGCCATGCAACATTCAATGTTTTAATATCTTTTCCATCAATTAAAATTCGACCTTGATTTGGATCATAAAATCGCTGAATCAATTGAATTATTGTACTTTCTATCATAAAAATAACAAAAAAGAAAACATATTTGATAAACAAATATACATAGACAAGAACATTAACTAACTTCCACATCCTGATGGACCAACTAAAGCAATTGTTTTACCCGATGAGATTTTTAGTGATAGATTCTTGAGAGCCTATAATAAAGTAGATAAAAGATTTATTTAAAAAACAAAACTTAGTAATCTCTAGTACAGGTATTTCTGGTCGTGCAGGAAATATAAAAGTAACATTTTCGAATTCAATATCACCAATAATATGTTCAGATTTATCACCTTCGTTACTCATCGCATCAATTTTTGATTCCTAATATAAAAACAAAAAAATTCAATTCTACAAAATTATTATTAACATTGAATAATCTTTAATTTACTCGATCAATCATTTCAAATACATAACTAGCACTACCTAATGCTTCGGCAAAATTTTGAAAATTTGGAATAAATTTTAATGTACTGAATATTGCAACCTATTAATTATAAATATTGATTATTATATCAAGTTGATAAGATAATATACCATGCAGGAAATGAGCACCTATAATTTTCAAATTTCAAAAAAAGTATCAGACAAAAAATAGTAGAAATTTTATGTTATCTATTTACTACGATGACAGTACCAGTTGAATAATTTTTACAATCAGTTTGAGTAAGTTGATGACCATACCTAATGTATTACATAAGATAATTCTATCTTATAACAATGTACAATTAATTCATTTACCAGAATGTGATTGCAAATGTTACAAAATTAAAAATTTTTGAAAAACATTGACATAAACCAATATATAGACCTTTTCTAATGCCAATATTTTTTGTTTCAATTAAATTTTTGCCAAATCTAAATCGAAAATGAAAATGTCAATCATAGTCGATAAACATTTACCTTTCTTCTTCTTTTATTTGACCATGAAATGATGTCACTGTTCGAATATTTCCTAATACTTCTTGTGCAATTGATGATGCTGTTGCAAAAGCTGAAACTTCTTTTATTGTATATTTTTCAATAACCTAAAATAGATAATTTTCCTCATAATGAAATATTATTATTATTATTATATTTTGATTAGTTTTCTTACTATAATTGTTAAATTAAAAATAAGAATTATAATCGGTGAAATAGATAGGAAGATAAATGTTAACTTATATCCTATTATAAGAGTAAAGATGACTACACTTAATGTAATCGATAGAAGAATAAAAAATTGCGGTACATGATAACTAGAATAATAAAATTTTACAAAAATAACAAAAATAAATAAATAAATTTTATTTTTCAATACTTGATTCCATCTTTGATTTTATCTATTAGAATATAAAACTATTTAATTGTATTAAATATTTCAATTTATTTTCATACCTAAATCTACAATAAGACGATTATTTAATTCTCCTGCTTTTTGTATATCAAACCAACCAATTTCTTGCCGTAGAATATTTCGAAAAAGAGCAAAACTAAATATATATAATATATAGTTTTTATGGAAAACATATTCTTTTACATAGGAAAAAAAAACAATAACGAACCGAATGCGTCGAATTTGTCGTTCAGCAGCTAACATCCAAGTTGCCCAAGCAATCCAAAAACAAATGATATTACTAAATCCAATAATAATATAATACTTGGTCAATCGATTTATACTGTCATAAGCTAATTCAGTTTGATTGTTCTTATTTGACACAATAGCGCTAGAAAATAACAATATCAGAACGAAGAAAATAATAAATAAAGCGTATATACCATTCGTTTGATATATTAGTAATATTATTAAAATAGATAAATTTTATTCTTGATCCTCCTAAATTAGCAAGATTATCTGTTATTCCTTGAAAAAAATACATTGCCACTGGATAAAGTCCTATAATTATTATAAAACAAGATATTTGATCATATTCAATATTTCTTTAAATATTTTTCTCATTTACCACCAGATATTAATGCTAAAATAAAAACAAAACAAAATGAAAAGTAATAATGAATAAATATTTAAGTAAAAACTAACCAGCTATGATACCAGCAATCATTAATAAAATATCTAAATTATCAGCATAACTAAAAATTTCATAGATTTTCAAACGATCAGTTTTAGATTCGGTTGCTTCTTTTGATTGACGAAAAAAACTAAAATTAAACAAAAATCATAAATAAAATATTAAAAAAAACATCTCAATAAAAAAACGAAAAACTAACGAAAATTTCGAAAGACAAAATAAACGTCCACAACGAATTGTTCGTTGAACTATATCGAGTTCTTCTTCAATTTGTTTTTCTTGAATATCATTATCATTAGAATGATCAACATCAAATTCATTTGGAGTAGGAGTTACATGCAAGGGAGATCTATAATACAAAGAGTAAATGTACTTCACAAAATCAAAACAAAATTTTTTTTTTTTTATTACTCATCAGAAATATCATCCGTATATTTATGTAAAGATCTTTGTTGAAGTTCATAATTATCCAAACATGCTGTTATTGAGTTAATATTGTCGGATTCACTTTTTATCACTGAATAAGACATTTAAAATGTTGCTTTACTACAAATAAAAAACAAAATATTTAATTTCAAGAGAAAAATTATCGTGTTAGATAACAATATTTATTCTTTCACTATCTCAGAGCCTTGTTAGGTCAAATAAAATCACATGAATTTCGTGAATTTCAAATTAAAACATTTTATCATTTTAGTAGCAAGAAACCTCTGAATGACAACATTCATGCCATTGAATATGTACGTATAATGAAAAAAAGAATATTATTGTACACGGTTGGAAATAATATTATTCTAGGGGGGGGGGGGGGTACCGTTATAATTTCAAATAGAATACATAATGAATTTTATATCAAATGAAAGCTCGTCAAAAATGGAGTTTATTGGTACTAAATAGTGAGGATTATTAAAATCTTTTAATGTCGAACTTAAGAGATTTTTAGAAATTTTATTTTTTTTGGGGGGGGGGGGGGGGGGGGAAATTTAAGGTGCCAGTGATTCAAAAAATGGAGTAAAATATTTTTCTTGGATATTTTTATATGATTTGATAGAGCTCATCGAGCTCTACAAAACTGTATATTTTTTTAAAAATTTTAAAAATAGAGTTCTTGTATTAAAATTCACTGAAAACTGTCTAAAGGATGTGCCCAAAAAAAATCACATTTTTTACGCTTTTTATAGGGGATAGAAAGTAGTCTTTTTTTCTACAATAAATTCAGCTGTTTTCCATTAGTATTCTTATGTCAGATATTTGAAAAGCCTGAGGGAGAAAAAATAATTTCAAAAAATGCTAATTTTATTGAAAAATCAAATGTTTTTTTTTTATTCCATATAAAAAATACGAGTGTTTTTAAGATTTTCCAAATAGTTTTTTGAATTTCTTATTGCAAAAAAATGACTTAAAATTTTTTTTAATATATACAATTTTGTAGAGCTCGACGAGCTCTATCAAATCATATAAAAATATCCAAGAAAAACATTTTACTCCATTTTTTGAATCACTGAAACCTTAACTTTCCACCCCCCCAAAAAAAAAAAAATTTTCTAAAAATCTCTTAAGCTCGACATTAAAGAATTTTTATAATCTTCACTATTAAGTACCAATAAATCCTATTTTTGACGAGCTTTCATTTGGTATAAAATTCATTATGTATTCTATTTGAAATTATAACGGTACTCCCTGAAATAATATTATTTCTACCCGTATATGTATTTTGAAATAGAGTTAATTACAATACTTTTTCTATGTTGGCTTGATAAGTTAAGAAATTTTGCTTTATAATGTATGTATAGTTACAAATGAGCGTGACATTGTGTCTTTTGAAAGAACAGAAAATAGTACGAAACAATATTTCAAAGCAACATTTTAAAGAAAAAAAGCTGCTTGCCATTTTGAATACATCTTTTTCTTTCTGTCATCAATCGAAACACATGGTCTTTATGTATGCAACGTGTTGAAATACATTCTTTTTATTTGCGATGCATTTTTTTTCAATTTAAGAAGCGACTTTGAAACATTGTTCGAACACGTTGCTTTTTACAATATTTATATATTTTTATTTGTCGTTCTTTTCAATACGCTTTCTATCAATGAGTTGTTTTTTTTTTTCTTCAAAAAGCGATTTACTCTTGTTGATACTTTGAAATGTATCTTTCAATGAATATTTTTACCAAGAAAAATGAAAATTTTGCCCATAAACGTAATAGAGCGTACTGCAGCAGCATATGCGCCGAAATCAAGAAATCAGACAAGACGAATTTTAATAAAAATCTAGAGTTTAAAAAGAAATTCAGTATTGTAAGACTTATTCTGATACGTTTTTTTTAAGGATCAAATCTACATAAACATCAACTATGTGGCAACGTATTGCTTTTTCAAAATATGCATCACATCCTTAACCTTTAACGATGGCATAAGATACTTATTTCTACAGAACAAATTAAATAGGATTGAGTCGTTGGTTTGAATGTTGGATTCATTCATCTGAACATTTTTAAAATTCAATTAATTGGAAATAACGAAATCTCGGACAGTCTTTTGTTCTTATTTGCTGCAAATGCGTTACAAATAATTTTATATAAATCTTGAAACTGATTATAATAGAAAAAAAAATGTTTCATAATCATGGATATATATATATATATAGTGCTATAAGATTCGATAGTGAAAATTTAGGATTTTCAATTAAAAATAGTGCAACTACGAGATCTGTATGAAATAAAGTTCAATACTATTCAGACAAAGATTAAATGATATTCCATTTGTAAAATATATTGTTTAGATACATTCATTTTAAAGGTAAAGTTTATGACAATAGGGCGTCAGAATGTATATAAACATAAAAGAAAAAGTCCGAAAAATTGCGTACGAGTCACTTTTCTAGATTAGAAAAAAAAATTTAGTGATCCATATTTAAATCAATATGCATAACAATAGTATCTAGCTTTTTTTCGACATCATAATACGTGAGTGTGAATGAGACACGTATCCCTAATAACACACACACACACACCTGCTACTTCTCTACTTACAAATTCATTGTGGATCGTGTTTCAACAGCAGAAGAAACTAACAAAAAAAATCAGTACTTTGTGTCTTTTAGGTTTTCTCGATGTTTTTGAACTGTATTTTTACTGTACTGATAGTTGCCTTATTGTTGAAGTAATTTTTCGCAACGGGTACTTTCTATAACTTGATCATGATTAACAGTATTTCGTCATAAAGAAAAAATATTCTTGGATTTCAAACTAAAATTCGTACAATAACGGTTGTAAAAAAAAAACGCTAAATAATAAAAATAAATGAGTATCGTTTGAATAATAAGCCGATGAAGATTGTATCATCATTCTGATATTTATGATTGTGACACCGTAGAGATGAACTTTTAAAAATTTAAAGCTTCACATTGGTATATGTGACTGAATACATCATCACTTGAATAATTCACAGCAGTTCATGTCTATGCAGTAGCTAATGATAGCCGAAAAAATCGAAGCCTTACTCTTCGTCTAATTCACATCTATCCTACTCTTGCAAAAAAAGAGATAAATATAGCATATGTTTTGTGACTATGAGCAACGTTAGTTGATTAGATCTTGTTATCTCTCGTTCTCGAAATATTCATGTATGTAATTAACTCATTATTATTGATTGCAAATATCACAGTTTTAGCATTAAACCGTTGCTACATGATTTTATTCGTATATCTATTGGGAAATTATAAATATGAAAATGAAAACAGATTTTATGATTAATTGTCATCGTAATTCAAAATACTCCAGTTTGAGTTAGTATGACATATAATTGACAGTTTGAATCATATTCTAATGGATAAATCATTTCATGACACGAACTTTGAAATGCATAAATGTTTTGAAACGTCAATAAACATGTATTAATCTTATGGTTGATAACGAATAACATGAGATTATCCATTAATGACGTTCAAGACTGAGAAATTGTTTTTTTTTTAAATGTTCTTTGTATTCAATTGAACTAGAAAATTTTTTCAACAATTTTTATAAGTATTTCGATGTTCAAATTCGTTTGACATTACCCACTTTTCTCTTTTCGAAAATATCAAGTTTTTTGTTGAATCTTTTATCTCTTTTTTCGCTGACTGTTCTTTATCTATGGCCTCACTGAAAGAAAGAAAAATCAAGACCTATGGATACACTTTTTTCGTTTTCATATCCTACGCGATCACTACAACTTTGTTTTTTTGTCTTGCAGTCGCGAATGAAGAAAAGTATTTTTTTAAATTTTGGAGTATCAGACAGCTCAGATAGACCTAATAGCACATATTTGTTTTTTTTT